TCACATAGAATAGGATAAATATAGACAAAATATCACCCATAATTAAAGAATCGAACCAATTTTGGTTCGATCTAAAGAGATCTAAAATCCCTAGTTTAGGGTAAGTAAGAATCAACAGAAGAGATTCATGCCCATAATCAAACAAGAGTGAATATAGACGGCATAGTAGAGAATTCAAGGATTTGAACCGACTTTGGTTCTATTCTGATGAGATTTGCTTGCCATATTTAGTCAAGCAACTAGGTAACACCATAGACGAGTAACCAGTAGTGAGAGGAGATCAATAAGGTAAGTGAATCAATGATTGATTCCAATTTCAAGTCGGAATCGGAGAGGATTAGAGGTTACGGCGCTAGGGTTTGCAGAGATGAAGAGAGCATTTGAGAGAGTTTAAGGGCGGCAGATTGTAGAGAATGGTTTAGGGTTAGGGTGCTTGGGTATAATTAAAAGGGTTTGGTTAGTTTTGGGCCGTTGATCTCTGAGATCAACGGCCAGGATTTTAAGGAGGGGCTGCAGCAGGTTACCGGTTGGGTTATTGGGCTAGGGGTCATTTGGTTTGTGCTGGAGTATTGGGCTAGTGTATTGGGTAGTTTAGGTTCGAAAATAGGTTTAGAATTAGGCTAGTTTTTTTAAAATACTCAGTATTTAGCAAGAAATAATTTATAAAATAATTAATAAATAGAATTTTTTTTTGTTATGCACTAAAATGAGTAAAAATAATATCTTAATATTTAAAAAATATAAAAATATAGTTTCTAGATAAATAATGTAATTATACATTAATATGGTCTATTGTTGCAAAAATATGCTATTAGCCCTAAAATGCAAATATAATTATACAAATACACCAAAAAAAATATTAAAACCTCATGTTGGTATAAAGAATAAGTTTAGATGATTAAATCATCATAAAAATATTTTGAAGGATAATTACTGTATATTTATATAATAAAATGCAGAAATAAATTGATTTAAAGTCTTTAAAAATNGAAAAATTGGATATCAACATGTGGCCTACAGACTTGCGTTGCCACCTGGTTTATCGGTAGTTCATTCGGTGTTCCATGTGTCCATGCTCCGGAAGTATCACGGCAATCCATCCTACGTGTTAGGCTTTAGCACTGTCCAGCTCGACAAGGATTTGACCTACGAGGAGGAGCCGGTAGCTATTCTAGACTGGTAGGTTTGTTAGTTGAGATCAAAGAGTTATCCTCCAGTTCGGGTTTAGTGGAGAGGTCAGCCTATTGAGGCAGCTACCTGGGAGTCTGAGTCCGAAATGTGGAGTAGATATCCCCACCTTTTCACCAGCTCAGGTACTTTTCTATGTCCGTTCGAGGATGAACAGTTGTTTTAGAGGTGGAGAATGTGATGACCCGATAGGTCATCTTATGATTTAAAACCAAACTCTGTGTTTCGAAGCCTTTAGAACCTTATTCTTGCCTTTCTCGATTTGCGTACACAATTCGGGTATTGACCTAGAAGGCATATATGCTAAAACCTGATAAAAAAAAGAAATTTTGCCTTAAAAGTTAATTTTGGTTGATTTCGATCAACATTTTGAGTAAACAGACCCGGACCCATGTTTTGACAGTCCCGATGGGTCCGTATTGAAATATGGGACCTGCGCATATGCCCGGAATCGAATTCGGAAGTCCCTAGCTTAAGTAATGAATTTTTATTGAAAATTAAAAGTCTAAAAATCTAATGGTTTTTAAGAATAATATGATGTTTGGCCTTGTTGATACCGGGCCTTTATTTTTGTTCCGGAGCCCGGTACATGTCCAATAAAATATTTATAACTTGTCTGTGAAATTTGGTCAAAAGCGGAATTAGTTTGACGTGATTCGGACATCCGGTTGAGAAATTAGAAGTTTCTAAGTTTTCTTGAAAATTTTCATTCGATTTGGTGCTAAATTAGTAGTTCTAGGTGTGATTTTGACAATTTGATTGCGCGAACAAGTTTGTATAATGTTTTAAGACCTGTGTGCATGTTTTTTTTTTTGGAGCCCTGAAGGATGGAGTAAGTTTTGGATAGGCTACAGAGTGAAATGAGCTTAGAAATCAAAGCCGGTGCACATTAGACCTGCAGGTCTTGCATTTGCGAGATCTGGCCTCGCATTTGCGAAGAAAACCCCACATTTCCGAAGTTGGTCAGGGGGAAGGGATCTTCGCATTTGCAAAGACGGAGGTCACATTTGCGATCCTCCAGCTTCGCATTTGCGAACAAAATGTTTTCATTTGCGAAGGCAGCAGAAAGGCAACAGGTTCGCATTTGCGATACCTTTGCGAAACCCAGGTCACATTTGCTACATTTGCAGCTGTGTAAATGTGACTTAGATGGGATTTTTCTCCCATTCTTCAAATTTTCAAAACCTAAAACACAAGAGGCAATTTTCCAAAGGACTTCTGTATAAGGCGAATCCGGGGGCCCGATTTCCCCGTCATAGGGTCGTCTCGCGATCATGCTCCTCGAAGCTCGAAGCCAAGGTCGAGACTCACCCTCGGTGGTCGTCATGTACCAGTCCAGAGGGAATCGCATTCCAACGGCTATAGCAGGCTACAGTAGGCGAGAGGGGAGTTCCCAAGGCACGCGGTTTAATCTGACAAGGCTGACCTATCCGGGGCCTATTTAAAGATGTCATGTCCAGCCATCCTATCTCCATGCCTTTACAGTTAACACATTTTGTACTATAACGGATTTCCCTCCTATAAAGGGGATCCCCATCACTTTGTAGAGCTCGGCTGATATTGCTCCAACTATCCTCCAAAAGATCAGTAATATCTCCCTCTCTCTTTTCTCTCTAACTTACTCGTTCTTACTCCCTCAAGGCCACTCTTAGCATTTAGTAGTTTCATACTTGTTCTTTATTTAGTGCTTAGCATTGGCCATAAAGAGCCTTGTTTGATCATATCTTAACTGTTATCCCATTCCCGACTACCCCCGATAGCAAGAGCTCGAGTTGGATATCGACCCTGAGGCTCCTCCATCGACCAGTCCGAAGCCTGGGCGGCAAGCCTCTCGGTTTGATTACTGCCCCATTTTAGCTCATATCTTATCGTTAAACTTCATATTCTTAGTGTGAACATGTGATTTTTGCCCTATACAAAATACTCCTATAAAATCCCCAAAAAAATAGGTTTTCTGTTAATTATTTGCCATTTTAGGAATTGTTTTAATTATTTGCATTTTCTGTGCATGTTTAATTTTTATTTAAATCATGAAAAATACCAAAAATATCATGCTTGCATTTAGGATTTGTTTTTACATTTTTTAGAATTAATCAGAAATTATTTGTTTTATAAACATTTGAAAATCACAAAAATAGCACATTTTTGTCTTTTAATTTTTAGTTTATTGATTTTTTTTAATTTAGAATTAAGTGATGTTTATAATTTTTATAATTAGTTAATTAGTTTAATTTCACATTTTAGATAGTTTAGGATTTTCAATTAAAAAAGAGAAAAAAAGATAAAAAGAAAAAAGGGAATAAAAGAGGAAAGTGTTTTTAATTTGAGTTTGGGCCATTTTAATGCCTAAAACCCGTCCAAAACCCCCCTTGACCCAAGCCCAATCCCTGCCAAACCCGTTCCAGCCCCGTCTAACTTAAAACGACCCCATTTTGTAATGCTTGATCACAACCGTTGGATCTTCGCAATCCAACAGCTCGGAAGTGAAGGATCATTAATTATTTAACTGTCTGAATGGAGACATACCCCCTCTCAATCGAACCCTTTCACTCTCCGTCTCTCTATAAATTACCAAACCCTAACTGCCTCATACTCCACACCGCCTCCACCGCAAAACACCGCCAAAAATTGCCTCACGGCGGTTCCGGTGGTCCAAAGCTCCCAAATTAATACCCTAGATTCCCCTTTACCCCTCTCTATAAATCCCTTAACCGTTTTCCCCAAATACCCGTTGTGTTCTTCGAATCTTAGATTGAAGAATCCGGTCAGAACCCTAATCATTCCAAATCACTCCAAACTCATACCCTATAACCCTTACTCTTCTCTAAACCCTAAGCTACCCTTAGCTCTTTCCAAATCGGCCCCAATTTGGTCGAATTTTAGATCCTAGATTCAGAAACCCTAAAAGACCTCTACCTGAGTCGATTCCGGGATTTTAATGGCTCTATTCTACATGAGTTGACTGTTTTTGATGAGAGCAGTTGACTCATGTGGATTGGACCTATTGATCGTGTTGCCCTAATCAAGTCCCGATTCCAGCCAAGTCCTCCGAGTCCAGTTGTTTCTGTTACAGGTGATTTTCTGGGTTTTTCTTTCTATCTTATTTTTCTTTTTCTTTTCTCCTAACCACCACTTTCTCCTTTCCTTTTGCTTGATTTTTCTTTGAGTTTTGTTCCGTCTAAAATTGCATGTCTAGATTTTTGGTTTTGCCTTTGGTCATTAAAAACTAGTCATGTTAGTTTAGGTTTCGTTTTTAGTCTGGTATGTTATTTACCCTGTTTTCCCATGATTTTACCTTCTTTTGATCACATTCAGTTTATTTTAGGAAAATTGATGAATGTTTAGGTTTTCATTGTTTTCAGTCGTTTAAGTTCTACGAATTGATAAGGCCTGAATTCTAGTTTTTTCCTCGTAGTAGCATCTTTGACTTTTGAATTACTGTTTAAATGAATTGTTGTTAGTTACAGTTCTAGTTCAATTTTAGATCAAGATTTTCCTCCTATTAAGTTTAGATTGCACCCATTCAACCATGCTTAGGCATTTTGATCCAAATTTTTGGCCCTTTTCAGTTTTGTCCTTGTTTGTTCTAATTTGCTCACAAATAGAAACTCTAGGGACCTAATTGAACAAAAAAGTTTAGGTAAGAACTGTAATAAACAAGCTTTAGAAGGGCAATTTAGGGTTTTTCTAATTCAAAAAATATCATAATATTCTAGAACAGGGGTAGCTGGCCTCATTTGGTTAGTACAAAGTATTGAAACCAATAGGGAAAAACCAGCTGTCCAATTCTGTTGGAATATGTTGTTTATGGCTGAAGAATAATTCCTTCAGCACATGGCATTGTATATCTCTATATACTGCCTTTCATACACAAATTTGAGATATACTCAGCCTCATTCTCTGCACAAAAACCCTATTTTTCATTCCTGAAAGGTTCAAATTCAAGAAGTTATTGAAAACTCCAAAACCTCTCATTTTCTGATTCTTTACAAATGTAAAAATATGTTTTGAAAAATAGAGATTTTTCTTGGTCTATTAGCTGGGATTTCTAGGGTTCAGCTGGCTGGTTTTGGGGGCTGAAGTTTTGAATCTGGAGTTGTTTCTTTGCTATTGGGGAATGTGTTGCTATTTGTTTTCTGGGTTTGTTTGAGCTCCATTTCCTCTGATTTTCTAATCTGATTGTTGGTGGGAGCTGAGATCTAGTTTGCTTCTTTTTCCAAAGTAAAAAAGAAAACATATTTTCTGATAGTTGTTGCACCTGTGGCTTTTAAGGTACTGATTCCACTTTCTTCAAAATGTAATAGTTGTTCGAATGTTATGACTACTATCACATTTACAACTTTGGGTTGATTACGTATTTGTTCCATGATTTGATGATTCATGTGCTGTTTTGTTGAATGTTTTTCTACCATGTCTATTGCCTAATAACCCGTAGCAAGTAATATAACTAGGATTTTGTTTGTTCATGATGTATTAGTCATGGATTTTGGTCGCATAGTTTTGAGCATTTAAGTTGAAGCAACATTGATATGTGCAGTTTTGGTCTAAAGTGTTAGATGTTTGAATATTTCAAGTTTTAATAGAATAAGAAGCAATGTATTAGAAAATCAGTTTGCTTTGGGCTGTTATAATACATTTGGAGTCTTAATAGTTTATTATCTTTTTTCTGTGATAATATGGCTGCAGATTTGCAAGCTAACTCTGTAGCTAGCCTTGTAAATGCAAATTTCTTGTGAATTATCAAGTTTCATGGGTTGGAATAGCTGCAGTAATGGAGGGTCAACAATTTTTGTGGAGTTTAAGTAATAACTTAGCTAGATTATAAGGCTATTGAGCTGTTCTGATAGGTTCTGTATAATTTCCTTTTATCATTAATTTTGTATATAGTTGGTTTATTTATTTGGTGGTTAGGCATTTTCCTTAAAGATGTATGCAATTGTCAATTAAATGTGGCCTAAGAGATTTAGCATTTTTTGGTATCGATTGGTTGGGCTTTAGCCCAATTGACCACTCTGTGAAACCAGTAAAAATTGCACGGGGCGCCCTATTTGGTCGCCCCCATTTAACCTATACCCATTTTTTAAAAAACTTTTAACTTGTATTCACTTTTTAAACAACTTCAGCTCCCTTTCTCCTCCTCCTTCTCCTCCTTCATTTTCTTTTTTCTTCTTCTACAACGATGACTTCAACATTGCTCTCTTTCTTCAGCTTTAGATAAGAAACTTAATGCACCTGTTCCTAATTTCCAAAGGCACCAATGTGCTTGCTGCTTTGTTGGTCATTCGGAAGAAATCAACATTGATGAGTTAAATGAGAGGAATGCATCTGAAATAGATGATTCAAATGAGAAAAGATGTCTCACTGACAATGTCTTAAACATTAACTATTCTTGATCCAAGATAGCAATGGCAGGACATGGGACCTAAAGCAATTTCTTAGTGACTTTTGCCATTATAGAGAAGCTTTTGTTATGTAAGGCGATTAGTATATGTATATGTACAAAGGATTTGTTACTTATATTTGCTTAGCTTATCACTTTTTCTTCACGCAAGGAAGACCAGATATTTCATGATCCTTATCTTTCATAATCAAACAGAAACGGATCATACTTGCAGTTGAAGTCTTTCCTCTACTTAGTGGCAGCTTCTTCTAACAACTGAACTACTCCAACTTTTGGCGAGATGTGCAATTTATTTTTTTCAAAGGCCAGAGCTGAAGTTTCTCAGTTACAACACAAGAACTTCAGCTCTAGAGCTGAAGTTTCCCAGTTACAACATAAAAACTTTAGCTCTAGAGCTGAAGTTTCCCAGTTATAACACAAAAATTACAACACAAAAACTTCAGCTCTAGAGCTGAGCTTCAGGCCCGGCTACTAGAATGCTGAAGTTTTGCGTGATTGTCTTTGCTACTTCAGCCCCGTATCCTGAAGTTATGCGAAAAAGCGGGTACGCTTGCAATTTTTTTTTACAAAGCGGGCACAAGTTAAAATGTGACACAAAAAACGGATATAGATACAAATGCCCCGTGAAACCAGGCTCAGAATGCCTTAGTTTTGCTGTGCTATTTCGTCTAGGTCCAAATGATGAGCCCAGATGCTTTCAGCAATTTGAGGCCCAGTGTTCCTTGGCTTTATTCTTTAGTGCAAATGATTTTTTATAAGCATTAGGATTATTGTTTGGCCCAGTTTCATTGCAAACATTTGGTTTTAATCTCAGTGTTATTCTAGGTGAGCAATCTATATTGTAAATCGGTTAAGTATAAGCTGGAAGTTAATTGAGACTGTTTGAGTCTAAGCATTGGTTCAATTAGCTATATTCATGTTAACAATACCTAGTGGCACGAAATCTTATTTTGGAATGTACGTGTATGATGCCAATCACTACGTTTTAAGACAACCAATTTCGAGATCAAATCATGGGTTCTAAAAAATATGATTTCTATTTACAACAATGTCCCACCAACAACGAAATCTGAAATGCTTGAAAGTTTTCATTGATATGATTGGTCAATCCATGTGTGATTTATATACGAATGAGCTGCCTGCCAAATCTTTTGTTATACTAAGGATATTGAAAGTTGAACATGAAACTTGAAATTGTTCGTCTGATTTAGCATGTCTATTCTTGTTGAAAAGCATGAACTGAAAACGAGTAGTCTAAACAATTAGTTCGAACATTAGTAGTTTGCTTTAAGTACATTTCTTTTAAAATCATTTGAGGTGTGTCATGTCAAATAAAACCCTTAAACTCATGGTCCTCATAAATTAGTTAACTCTTATAGAATAAATGAGGCGTGCCATGCCAAACAAATTTATAATTCATGATCCTTGTAAGATTAGATTAAGAACTAACTCTTATAGAAAATTCGAAGTTGTAACGACTCGATCAGTCGTTCTGAAAGTTATAGCCTCGATTCCCCTATTTTTCTTTCTTTATGTGTTGTTCAGCTGTGTTGAGTTGCATCGAGTTGGTAGGTTTGGGTTCGGAGTAGTTTTGGAGTGAAATGATCACTTAGTCTCTTAGTTAGAAAGCTAAGTTAGAAAAGTCAACCGGAAGTTGACTTATGAGTAAACGAATTCGGATTTAAATTTTTATGATTCGGTTAGCTTCGTTGGATGATTTTAGACTTAGGAGTGTGTCCAGAATGTAATTTGGAGGTCCGTGGTAGAATTAGGCTTGAATTGGCGAAAGTTGGAAGCTTAGAAGTTCCTAAGCTTGAATTCGAGTTTGATTTGGTGTTTTGATATTGTTTTGGGTGCTCTGAAGGTTCGAATAATTTCGGGTAGTTATATATGACTTGTTGGAATTATTGGTTGAGGTCCCAAGGGTCTCGGGTGAGTTTTGGATAGGTTTGGATTGTGTTGTGCTCGTTTTTCTTATGTTTCGACGTCGTTTCTTCAAACATAAATGATATCAGATTGAACAAATGAGCTCCGATTTCTTTTTTGATTGAAGCATTAGATCCGTATCGTAATTGCGGACCCGTAGCAAAAAGAATCGTCGAATTTGGACATCGTATGGGGATTTTATGGTCATTTTACTAAGAATTAGGTTGCCAGATTTTTCAGATTAACTACGAAATTGCCATTGACGGCGTATTTAAAAATCTGCACTATTTGCAAATATTGAAACCAACAAATATCATTCATTATAAGGTCAAATTGAGTGATTCAAAAAGAACGAGTGTCGGGATAATTTGGCACGAGAAACGAGGCAAAATAGTTGGCTGAAAATATATATATAACTAGGGTTTGTTCATTCGGTCATATTTTGAGTTGGGGAGCTCAGATTTGAGCGATTTTGGAGGCAATTTTTACCATAGAGATTGGGGTAAGAGTTCTTTACTCGGTTTTGGTTATATTTCATGAATCCATTTTCGTTTTTGGGATTTGATTGTTGATTTTAAAGTGAAATTGAGGGAGTTAGGGCTTGAGTTTTGGAGAGTTTTAGGTAGGGATTTGAGGGACCAAACGGAGTCTGATTTTGATAAACTTTAAATGGTTAGACTCAGGAGTGAACGAGGTTTATTATTCTGCCCCTTTTGACTGGTTTCGAGATGTGGGCCCGAGGGCCAAATTTTGGCCGATTTCGAATTTTTGGCATATTTTGTAGTTTTTATTATGGAATTCAATTCTTTAGCACATGGTGATGGTATTGATCTGATTATGGTTAGATTCGGAGCTTTTGGAGATTGAGTCCAGAGACGAGGGCATCCCGGAGTAGGATTTTACGCTGTTGAGGTAAGTAACAGTTTTAACTCTAGCTTTGAGGGTATAAATACGAAGAATTTGATATTGTGTGAATGTTTGGAGGTGATACCCATGCTAGGTGATGGGAGTGTGGGTGTGCACCTCGAGGGATTGAGACTTGGTCCGTCCTGTAAGGCTTGAGGCTTAATAGCTACTATCTGTGGTTATGTGTTTACTTGTTGTTGAACTTGTTTGTCGTCATGTTAGAGATCATGCTTAGGCTTTATTCATGCTCAGATTATTTTAACTCATTCATAGAAATTATTGTACATGTTTACCTCAGTCTCTATTATTTGCTAATATGTTGTGATATTTGATGTGGGTTGTGTCCCTTTATTTGTTGATGATGGTGAGGCTAGTGAGATACATGATTGAGTGAGACCGAGGGCATGGTTATGAGGATATTGATACCAAAGCGCATGAGTTGTCTGCGTAGCACGTGAGTTAACCGTGCGGGTCCAGGTATTGATACCATAGCACATGAGTTGTCCGCGTAGCACGTGAGTTAACCATGCAGATCCAGGTATTGATATGATGGCACGTGAGTTGTCCATGCTTATAACTTGGGCTTTGGGAGCCCATTCGGAGTCTGTACATAGCCCTAGTGAGCGTAGAGTGTTGAGTGTATTGAGTGTTGAGTGTTGAGTGTTGAGTGCGAGTGTTGAGTAATGGAGTGACATTGCTGTGAAGTTGCATTTACTTTTGTTGTTGCTGCATTTATATGTTAAATTTCATTGTAGTATTGACTGAGTTATGGAATTTACCTATTTATTCATGATTATTTTTTTTAAAATTGTGAAAATAAATAATTGGACTGTTTTACTTAGCTCGTCACTACTGCTCAGTTCCTTAGTTATTTCTATTACTACTGAGGTGGTTGTACTCATACTACACCCTGCACTTTATGTGCAAATCCAGGTGAGTTAGAGCGCGGCGATCGTTGAGTTCAGGTCGGCTATCTTTGGAGACTGCAAGGTAGCTGCTAGCATCCGCAGGGCCTTGTTACTCCTCTTGTCATTTCTTCTTTTGGACAGTTAGACATTTTATATATCTTACTTTGTAGTTTTAGTTGCTCATGACTTAGTGGCACTCCAATGTTTGGGGGTCGTTTCCGTATTTTATATTAATTATATTTAGAGTTGATTTAGTTTATGAGAAATTCAAATGTTGAAAATGTTTTATTAAATTCTTATAACTGATTTAATAGTAATATTTTGGAAATAGGCTTGCCTTGTAACACGATATGTGTCATCACGACATGGTTAGATTTTGGATCGTGACAGAGGTGTACCATGAATTAAATTATCCATGGCCCTCACAAATGTGGTTTCTAAATTTGAACCTTCGCAGTTGCTTTAGGTGCGTTTTTTTAAAGAACTCATCATAGCTACGGGTACGGTTCCCGTAATGTAGTTGTGATTTTTTTTAAATTCTCGGTGTACATTTCATGTAACCCAGTTTCAATTTTTCAGCAATGTTAAATAGAACGTATTGCGAACCGCGAGTGCATTTTATGTAGCGTGGTTCAAGGCATGTTTTAAATAACGTTGAATCTTCCTAGAAGCGATTTTAAAATTATCAAAAACGGTTATAAAAGCTAAAATACACAATAGGTTAAAACATGTAATGAATCGGATAATATGCCAATTTTAATAGTTTAAGTGACCGTGCTAGAACCACGGAACCCGAGAATGTCTAATACCTTCTCCTGGGTTAACAGAATTCCTTATCTAGAATTTCTGGTTTGCAGACTTTTAAATAAAAAAAAATTTCCTCGACTTGGGATACCAAACAAACTATTCCAAGTGGCGACTCTGAAAAATTAAATAAAATAATCTCATTTCGATTTATGTCACTTAAATTGGAAAAACGCCATTATATACGCCCTCGTGTGGTAAAAAAGGAGGTGTGACAGCTCTGGCAACTCTGCTGGGGACCAAAACCCAGAACTTTTGTTCAGGGTTTAAGAATTCGAGCTTAGAATAACTGTTATAGTTGGCTTGTTTTTATCTCAATTTTACATGTTGAGCCTAATGTGCTAATTGCCGCTTTTTACCGCTTTGATATTGTTTGGACTGTATATAAAATTTCTACGAAACCCTCCTCTCTTTGAGTCTTCTAAATCATCNCCTCCGCTCGAGTTATCCGATCGGGTAAGCCAGGTCGAGAACAATACACCCAAATTTTTAAACCTAGTATAACAAAGCCTCATGCCAGATCCCTAGTAAGAACGCTTGTTTTCATCACGTGCATTTGACTTTGGAGATTCAACACAGGGGTTGGGTCTGTCTAGGACAAGTGTACCCGAGATGAAAAGACCATTC